AAATATAACCAAGTCGATTAGATTTTGAAAGGACAATTTTTTTTTAATATATAATAGCAAACACACAAAAAATAATTCTTGTTTTCACAAGGTTGAATAATTTCTGTAAGGAGAGATGCGGCATTCGTTTTAACCCATTTTGCTCTGTTCTTAGCGCAACTACTACAGCCTTCGATGTTCCCGTTCTCAGTAGTAGTAATATTAGTAGTAACAGGAGTAGCGATACTTAGATGTTAACGGCGGTATTTCGCTTCTTCGCCCTCAGCTTCAGCAACACACAACGGACGCTGCCTTTTCGATCTCTGGCGTCCGTCCACTCAGTTCAACTGCATTCGAAGGCAGACGAGTCCCTCCAAAACTCCCTGCCTCCTCCGGTTGGCTCGCCTTTTTATTAAGAGAACTGGCCTCACGTGACCCAGACTGCTGACGTTTCTGTCGTTCTAGTGCTAACGTACGAACATTCTACCAAAGTACAATTTCACTCCTCTGAGAATAAACAATTTACTTTTTCATCAATTAGTTTCCAAGATCAACAAAATTGTTTATCACCTCTATTAATTATTCTGCCGCTCTTTGTAAACTACTGATATTCTTGTTTTAAATTCTAGATCAAAATATCCTTGATTTTAACTTTGATTCTCATAGTGTCAAAATCACAAAAATGGCAATTTATTATTGTTCCAGTAATCTTCTGTTAGTAATCTGATATCCTTTGTACACTTACAAAAAGATTGTATTTCGTGTTCTAAATTAAATTTGTGTAACATGTAAATTTCAAAATCTCCACAGGATTTTAACATCTTGGTTATTCGAAAACGCCTCTCTTTCACTTGGTGTTTTCTGTTTTACAGCATATTATTATTATTATTATTATTATTATTATTATTTCAGAGGTTATATCGCCCCTTCCACATGTTTACAGTGTGGTGATTTTTTAATCTGGGGACATGTTCCCTATTTCGGTAATTTATAATTTCTTGTCGTTCATCCAATGACTGATATTAGTAAAACCTCATTAGAAAACGATGCTTTTTTTTTTATTCTCGACCATTTCTACTTCACATTCCGGAAAACACTAATTAGTTTAGCCGCAATCACTTGCCACCTGCATTTTCTCATTTTTATTTTATGTGCATCTCTCTTTAACTTAATCGTTGCAGTACGCTTGTTTTATTTATATATAATATATATATATATATGTGTGTGTGTAGGTAGAAATCAATGTTTCAAACCGGGATTGAAACTCGACCAATTTGTTATCAGTTAGGGATATTACCCCTAAGCTATCGGCGCACGGCAGAGGAAGGGAAATTTTAACGTATTATAAACGTGATGTATACAAATGCTAGTATCCAAGAGCACTCAATTCATAACTGAACACCGATACGTTAACAGGAGGAGCAGCCACTGTTTTTAAAATTACCCTCTCTCTATAGTGCTCAATCGACGAACGAGAGCACACACACACACATATATATATATATATATATATTCAATAACTTTTATCTACTTTTTATTTAAAAAAATTGCTCGTTGCGAGTTAAATGTTGCCGTGTGTTTTCTTCAAAAAGCAAGACTAAAACTGTTTTATGTAGTATGTGATTTATGCATAAAATACTACATAATCTAAATCGAATTTAATGTCAGTATTGATTGATGGATTTGCTTTTTACGGTTTATCAGCCTTTTGCTTATATTTAAAGCCATAAAATAATTTTGGATTGTAAAAATTATTTTGGAGATAAAATGATTTTGATATATCTTGTAATTTAACCCATAGCCGGGGAGAAGTGCTGGATTGATAACTTTCTCAAGGGCATTTGCACGTAAGTGAATAAAATAAACCCATTTGTTTGGACCACCTGTTTACATGTCTCCATAGATTGGAAATCTGCTCTTCATTTTTCAGATGCCAGGAATTTTCCATTACACTCTCCGCACATCCAGACTTACAACACTTTGTATTCATAAGCGGTCACCCATTTATAAGCTGACCAGATTCGACGTTGTTAAATGTCGCTGATTGGACGAGAACCGTTGTTTCAATGTGATATCGCTGAATGGCTTTAATGTCAATAAGGAACCCTTGTTCTTAGATTCTGAATGGCGACTTCCATATGTACTGAGCTCAACTAAGTTTAATCGAAGTAGATTTTGATCTTTTTGCCACACCAGAGCATTAGTGAAACCGGTTACATTTTAGAGTTAGTTTGAAAGGTGATATCCTAGCCATGAAGTGTAAATTGGGGCCTCAAATGATGCCTGTGTCGCCACAGACATGTAAACAGGTGGTCCAATCAGCTGCACTTAAGATGTGCTCACCTGCTACAATCGCATGGCAAAAATATATATTAGCTCCCCATTCGAGAGGGAATAGATTAATGGTCTCTCGTGTCATTATGAGAAGATCCACGTTCGGAGCAAGTCATCCACTCGCTGATATTACTTTAAAGTTGTATAAACAAAAATATATGTATAAGAAATTTAGTCTCGTGTTATTAGTCTTTCCGTTTTTTTATTTAATTACGAGCCAAATATTTTACTAATTATTAATTATGATTAATAAAAATTCTCAACGTTGTTTTAAGCATTTAAATTAATTTGTAATATTTTTATTAATTATAATGAAAATAAACTCAACAGATACACACTTTTTGATTCAATTTCTTTTTAAAAAATCATTTCACCCCCAATCAAGGCAGTAAAGCCACTGAGGCACAAGGGGTTACCGAGTGAAAGAATAAGAAAAGAAAATGAAACATGAATAAGCGAAGGCATTAGAGTAATCGAGATGACAATAGGTAACGATTGACATTGTATTTAAATTTTTGAAGATCAAAATTGGCTGGATAGCATGAAGCCGGAAGTGCGTTCCACAAGCAAGAAGTTCGTGAAAAGAAACTGCATAGGACTTACGGTTATATCAAGCTAATTGAAATGTAAATTGGTGAAACCTTGTTGCCAATGGAACACAGCACTTAAATTCATAGAGCGTAGGTATCATAGCGGAAAGTTTATGAGAACAATTATCATGAAACTTTATATAAAAACACAGGAAAGTTACATTACACCGTTGAGAAATTGACTGAAGTCGAGACATCAGGACCACCGAAAAGATCATAGAAATAAACGCTGAAGAACTGAGTATAGATGATATTTTAGGAAGTCACAGAAATCACGGCAGTGTGAAAATAACTGAAGCCGAGAAGCCGGGACATGACCAATAATATTACTGATTCATCTGTAAATATATAGCAGGAGCACCGGACCATATGTGGTAGCAATAGTCTTTGCATAGACAAATGCCAGACTTATGAATATCGAAGATAGATTCTACAGAGAGAAAAAAAAAACTTGTCTAGCACGACACAGTGAACCAACTTTCGTAGCAGCAAACCTAGAATTGAATGGATTCAATATAATCATTCCATTTAATGTTAGCCCGAGAAGGCGCAAGGAGTCACTCTCCTGGAGGTTAACATCAGCCATGCTGGTGGGAGGGTGAATGGTGTCACTCAGATGATTAACAGAAGTTTCGTTTTACATTTTTCAATTAAATTCAGTTAAATTCGTCAAAATCCTACCTCTTTAATCCGACTCTGTGAACCAGCACATTTTTTTAATCAACCGCCATTAGTTCATTAGGCGGCAACGAAGGTATCTCAACACATTTTTTTTTACAAATTTCCGCAGCAGACAACAGCAGCAGAGTGTTTTGGTTATACGGTCTTGCTCATTTCTTATAGAAAAGCTGCATATTTACCTATTCAGGTTAATAAGGATACATATGTTTTTGATTTGGGGTTCTTTTTTTCTTTTTTTTTTTCTTTTTTTTTTTTTAAGTCCTTGTGTTGCATGAAACAGTAAATGACTCGTTTGGAAGCGTTAATGATTGTTTTATTTCTTTTTTTCAGCTTTATTCTACATCTGACAACGAAGTAATATATACGTCGAATGAGCTGGTAAGACGGCTGTTTACATAAGGTATTTAGTGGTGATGTTTGTCATCTGGTATTTTCTGTGAGTCGGCAGTAGCCTTGTTCCAACGGCGCCGGATAAAAAAAAGTCGGACTTTATATATACAGTATTCAGCAATTTTCATTATTAATAACTCAAAAGTCACTTATTTAAATAAGTCTGTAGGATTTTAAGAAAACCTAATCAAATAGATTTTTTTTTTTTTTTATTTAGATAATTACGCTAAGTTTTTTGGGATCCACTCAAATAATTTGTAACGTCAAATGTCAGACAATCTCAATGCTTACAGGGAATGCTGAATGGAATAAGGGCCTAAGTAATGTTGCCGGGCTTAAAGCGTATAAAAGTTTTCATTTTTTAAGTATTTATTTTATGTTCACCTCCAAAAAAAAAAAAAAATTAGATTTTTTGCATTTTGTGTTTTTTTTTTTTTGTTTTTTTTTCACGATGTTTCGGCTGTTGTACGCTCCGTCCCTTTTCAGGAGATAGCTGTAATTTCGAACGGAATCCTTTATTTTAGCGTACAACGGCCAAAACATCATGAATATGGCAATAAAGATGAAAACAAAGGTTCCTATTGATGTAAATAAACGACTACTCAAGTTTTGTAGTCAGTTAGTTTTCCTTTGCCTATCTGCTTTCTAATCAAGGCTAAAGAGCTCAATGTTTTTCTTTGTTTGTTTTTTGCGTATAAGTGAATATAAAGCATTCGATTCGAAATCGAAAACAGCTCTCGATTTCTCATTCCGAACCGCTATTTAACACACACTAATCTCGTTATGATTGGCGCACACCTTATGAAGCTAGAATTCCACTGGGTAACACATAGTTTGAATGTAAACAAGAAGGGAGAAATCAGGATAAAATATGTGAACAGAATATTTATTCCGTTATGCTTGAAAGGGTTTCAAAATTTACACAGCAAACGGCATTGTCATTAAAACTGGATTTTCCCAGTTAACAATGTATAAATACGTCACCGTTACAGGAGGGGGAGAAAGGCAGAGACGTTATTCTTTCAGGCACAACGTTTACTAGCTTCCATAAACTCGAAAACTTTCTTTCTTTTTTTCTTCATATTGAATGCCCAAAACACTTTACTCAAGTTCTGCTTTTTATTTCTGTGAGTTTATGATAACAAACACTCGAACAGGAACAAAGATCACTTGTTCCAATACGTGTGACACCTTCATATACATCGACACATCCGGCTAAAATTTTATTGAGTGTCAGCGGCTCGCGAAGCAAAAGCTTCGTGTGAAATGCTTTCACTTGTTGACAAATCCGACTAAAATCAGTTCGAGAAATGTTGTCTACAATTTCATCGCTATGAAGTTTAACAGCATCAGTCGGAATTGGATATTATTGTGGATATTTTGTATATGGACTTCGAAAGTCGGGAATGCTATAAATCTACCTACATGTTTCCAGAACAATACAGTCCTTACGGTCAAATCAGGAACGCAATGCAAATTACCTGCGGGGTCATACGACTTTACTTTGGTACAGATTAATGGTGTCCTTCATCTCCCCAGTGATGTGAGTGCTTCCAGATTTTCGAAAATCAGAGCTGAGAAGATTTTGGTGTCACGAAACGCCCGAATTAAAGCTGACGGTTATGGCTACCCCGGTGGACAAGGAGCGGGACAAGGAACGCCTGATGGTTCTGGAGGTAAGTAAAATTTTTATTTATATATATATATAAGTGCAATAAGCTATTAAAAAGAGAATAATAACTTCATTTTTTTTATTTAGCTTACTGGAATAATTTAAAGTGTGCACACTCGATTTAATATAAATACAGTGTAACCCGGATATAAGAGAGATTTTCTCTGGTCCCAAATTAGTCTGTGTTAATATAAACAAAATAGACCAAACCCGTATATAAGAGAAACCCGGATATAAGAGACTTCTTCTCCGGTCCCGACAACTCTCTTATATCCGGGTTACATTGTATTCACTTAAAGCTAAGCCGGGAACAAAATAAAAAATAGCAGCAAATCAATTGAATATTGACCTCAACACCATAACAAAATGCACTCGTCCGGCATTGCTTTATACTCGGTATATTACTTGAAACTGTGAAGATAATTTGAATTTTATCAGAATGATTGATTTTTTTTGATTTTTTTTTTGATTTTTTTTTTTTATTTTTTTTTATTTGGCTTAACCAGGTTATTTAAAGGCAGAAAATATTTTTTGGGTTGTAATTTTTTATTGGGGGGGGGATAATAATTTACGAATACAAGTCCTATTTATTCTATAGCTGAAAGGGAGAAGAGGTGGATTCATATTTTCCCCAAAGGTACTTATGTGTAAGGGAATGTAACGATCCCAACTGGAATTCTACCTCTACTTGAATTTCAAATCCTGATCCATTAAACGATCCACACATCCAAGTTTACAGCATCTCATATGTTCAAGTGGTCACCTATTTAGATATTTGCAAAACTCGAAATTGCTTAATTTCGGTGCTCGCACGAGAACCTGTCGTTTTCTAGGATTAAGCATTGCTCAGTATTATTATTTTCGCTATTACTCATTAGTATGCTAGAAATATTATTATTATTAGTAGTATTTCATTGAAATTTAGATGGTGTCAACTATTAATTTTTTTTTCTCGTAGTTTTTTTCGAGTAAAGTCGTCTTAACCTCTATTTTTTTTTTTAAACCCAATTGATAGCGTCAAGTTAATTGATCAATAAGTGGTTGATACCGCCCATTCCGGAAAAATTTAAAGATTTATACGTATGAATTGAAAGAAGAATCAAAGGTTGCTTATTTTCGTCGCAACACGCAAATCGTTATTGTACGATTTTCTTAATATGTGGTCATTGTAACGGGAATCGTCGATTGGAGTTTAATTCTAACCTATTCAGTTGCTTTTATTTCGCAAAAATGAAGTTGGGGACAGAAAACCTGAATTAATTATTTTTCCTTACATCTATGAGTTAAATAGCTGAGCAGATTGGACAGTCTTCAAGAAGGAAGACTAAATTCCAAACCGTTGATAAGTCAACGGAAAACGACAACACTATCGTTTACAAGATGACATGACAATTTAGATAATAAAGAAGGGATCTATCAAGAATCATGCTTTCTATACGCCGTGAAGGTGAACCATGCTCCTATACGTCGTGAAGAGGCATAACATTAAAAATAAGGTAAACGGTGCGAAATAGAAATAGACATCTTAATTAGGAACAGCCTCACCCCAACAAAAAACATAAACGTTTACGTTTTAGTTGACTTTAGAAATAAAACTCATAATGACTATAATAAAACTATTCTTAACATTCCAAAGTAATTATGGAGACAACATGCCTCCAGAAGTTCCCCGAAAACAAATAAAATATTTTAAGAATTTTACAAGAAAAATTAATCTCTCTTGAGGTATTCGTCTGATAAACAAACTTGTCCATACCTGTTTTATACACACACACACACACACATGTATGCATGTAATGTTCTTCTGCCGAAATTGGCTGTTCCTCATATGAGGTGATTTTCGATTTTACTGTTTATATATATATATATATATATATATATATATATATATATATATATATATGTGTGTGTTCTTTTTATAAGAACAAATATTTAAGTAAATGCTCTGTTTATAATGAACAGTATTAAACTAATTTACCGGCCTGAATGTCAGAAATTTTCAATGAAAATATTCGTCTTCCGACAGGAATCGAACCTGTATCATATACGGAACCGTCATATAGCCCGACGTGTCTTACCCGTTTCGGCCACAGAGGAGCGTTCGGTTAGCCAGGTCGATTTTACTGTCTTTAAACTACAATCTTCCATGATTTTATATATATATATATATATATATATATATATATATATATATACACACGTTAGACCAGTTTTTCTCAACCTTTTTATCAATGGTACACCTCAGAGAAAATGAAAATATTACGGCAATCTTAGCAAAATTTTAAGGGTTATAAATTTAAATGGAAGGAAACATTTCAAAAGTTTAATTTAAAAAAAGATACTTCAAAAAACGAATATTAACAAAGTATTTAAAATAACATAATCGACGGATAGTGAAAAGAATTATTTGAAAAAAATAGTTTAATATTCATTTATTCAAACACTAACGTTGTAACATTACTACTTCGATATACACACACATTGTGACGGATGTGCAATTTGATTGGCCCTGATCTGGCATCTCGTCTATTGTCGCTCTCTCACAGACGTGCCGTCGCCTCCCTTTGTCTTTTCTACAAATACTTTCACGATAACTGCTCTGACGAGCTACTTTCGTTAGTTCATAGACTGAATGAATTTAAGCGTGCTACTAAGCTGGCATCACGGTCCCACAATTTCAATGCCGTGATGGTTAGATGTGGCCGTCTCTTCTACTCCAATAGCTTCATGCCTCGTATCTCCCGTCTGTGGAATTCCCTTTCTATTACTTGTTTCCCTGGTAGCTATAATCTCCAACTGCAATGACAATCGACATCTCCAGATGCCCTGACCTATTACGCGTTCTTTTCATCCTTTCCTCCATCACGTCTCTTTACTCTCGCTCACACTCTGTAACCCCCTGCTTGCTAGTGGCATCCCGCTTTGTTTGCGGTGAAATGCTTAAAAAAAATTATGCGATAACAATAATTAGCAGCACCCCTACGAGGATCGTACGGTACACTAGTTTACTGATGTATGGCTGTTGAGAAACATTGCTTTAGAGATTCATTGGAATTTACTTAACGCTAAATACTTCTTTTCTCTCTGCCCGTCAATAAAATTCAACTTTAAAATTTAAATCTTTAATGTTCCAAAAGGAATTACATCGTAGAACATCTGGATACGTGATGATGTAATAAAATTGATGTATAAAGTATAAATCTAAGGAAATAAATGAGATATAAGCGTCTTCCTTATCATACCTTTTTTTCTATTTGCATGATAAATCTAAATTTGTCTCATGTAGATATTTTAAAACGATTTCTCTTTTAATTTATAATAATTTCATTTAGATTTGAACTTAGAAATGGTTTCATATAAGTAATGATTTCAGAATATGTCAATATTTTCTATTAGTTCTACCTAGCTAAAATGTTTGACGGCAGCATTAACTAATGCAAAGACTGAATGCTTGTAATCAAGTATGTGTATTTGCTAATTTATCGAGCTAATGCGTGTCGTAGATGCTCCAGTACGTTCTCACTTACTCAACCACTACAGAGCACAAGTAATATATATATATATATATATATATATATATATATATATATATATATATATATATATATATATATATTCATCAAGTCTAGAGAAATCCTCAACAGAATACTGAAAGAGCTGAACGTCGGTTTCGTCCCATTATTTGTACGCATCATATTGGGTACCGAGAATCGGACGATACGATGCAAACACCATACATAATGGACCAACAGGTCAGGTTACAAACCAAACTCTGCATAGCGCAGCTATAATAATATCTATGCTTGTATATCCTTGCTTGAATCGGCCTCTAATACCCTGGATGAAGCGGATACGGGAGAAAGATGTGAATCGAAGGGGCGTGTGTATATATATATATATATATATTATATATATATATATATATATATATATATATATATATATATATATATATATATATATATATATATATATATATATATATATATATATATTATATATATATTATATATATTATTATATATATATATATATATATATATATATATATATATATATATATATATATATATATTATATATATATATATATATATATATATATATATATTATATATATATATATATATATATTATATTATATATATATATATATTATATATATATTATATATATATATATATATGTGTCCCTTTCATAAATAACTTAACAGGACTAACATTTTGACTCATGGAATTAACGTTTATTTTGCTTGTTTTTTTTTTTTTTTTTTTTTTTTTCAACTATAAGGTATTGAATTCTTGAGCAATCTACCGTTCGATCTCGTCTATTTCATTGCGATACTCCGACAAATTTTTTCCCGTATATGTGCACTAATATCTGTAATCTTTATTGTTCTATGTATTTCAGAAACGATTTATATAATTTAAAAGTCGCATATCAAATCTTCGTTTGTACTGACAACATTTGTCAATGCTGAAGATAATTACGAATCCAGAAAATGAAAAAATCTCCACTTCATTAAATTGGATCCCGTGGTAATAAAAATTGGAATATCATTCAAAAATATATTTAAAGTCTCTCGTTTGATACTTTAATTATATTAAGAATGATTGTATGATAAAACTAGTTAATAATATTATATTCGTAATCAACTTTGGCGAATTTCTTTTTTCATTTATTAGTGTTTAAACATTTTTTTCATCATCTATTTTTCCATTCTGATTTCTATTCCATTTACTATATTATTATTTTTTCTTTTGTCGCTATATTCTTTGCAGGGATGTTGGAATTATTTTAATTTTTACCTTTTCATTTTTTTTTTTTTTTTGGTTCGTTCCTTTCTGTCCTAACCAGTTTCCTTTCTTTATTTCTATCATTTATACACAGTCTATCTTGACAGGTTTTTTTTTCTGTTATCTCAGAATGAAAGTTATTTACTGATATTTTAACTATTCTTTTATTAGTTGATAATATTTAATGTGCATATGTTGCGAAAGTCAAA